ACTCACACACTCATAGACATAGTTGTACTCATTCATTCACATTCATCTACACTCACACGCTCATACATAGTCACAGACTCATGCTCACTCATTCACTCATACACTCACGCTCATACAGTCATATACTCACACTCACTCATTCACACTCATAGAAACTCACACACTCAGATAGTCACATAGCCACACTCACTCATTCACACCCATATGCACTCACACACTTATATACAGTCATATACACTCACTCATTCACACTCATATATGCTCACACACTCATACAGTCACATACTCACACTCACTCATTCACACTCATATATACTCACACACATATACAGTCACATACTCACACTCATTCACACTCATATACACTTACATACTCACATACTGTCAATCATTCACACTCATACACTCACATACATAGTCACACACATGCACGGTCATTCACTCATTCACACGTATTCATATACTTATCACACATGCTCTCACACTCATTCACTCTCAGAAACACAATCACTCGTTTACATGCACAGATGCACACTCACATACATAGTCACAAGTCTCACACTCCCTCACTTATTCACACTCATTCAGTCACACTCCCTCACTTATTCACACTCACACACTCATTCACACACAGACACACTCTTGCACTCACTTGCTCACACACAATCTCACCCCTCACACTCACCTTGAACTCGTTGCGGATTTCTAGCTTCTTGATGGCGGCAGCCTCCCGCACACGGACGCAGAAGTCCCAGGACGAGAAGACCCTGGCGCTGAGCGGCGTCCTGCGGCCCTGGCCAGGGAATGGCTTCTGCAGCAGCCCCTTCACCATCCTGGAAGGAGTAGAGGCCAGGGGCCTGCTGGGGAAGGTCACCCCCATGCTCCAGCCTTGGTTCTGGGCTCTGGGGTGGGAAGGGCCCTGGCAGCCCTGGGTACAGGCCTTGGCCCTGGCCTGGGTGAGGGCTGGGGGTACAGGGGTGGTGGTCCCTGCTCCTGAGGTCTGCAGGTGGGGACACAGAATTCAGACCCCAGAGCTACTGATGAACAGAGCCAGGGGCCTTCCTGCCAACTAGGGGGTGCCATGCCAAGGGAGGGGTGACCAGGGAAGACCCCCCATGCCGGAAGGGGCGGAGGCACGGCTGTGGTCTCACCGCTGCAGTGTCCCACAGAAGCAGAGGAGCAGGCAGGCCAGTGGGCTGAGCAGGTAGGCCAGGCGGATGCTGTACGCCGAGCTAACCTCAGGCCCCGCCCGGTACGCGCCATAGAAGAGATAGGTGTTGTTGAAGGCCTAGGGACATCAGGGGGGACAACTGGACATGAGCCACGTGCAGGTTCCATTCTGAGTGCTTTCTGTGTATTAACTCTCTAACTCTCAGCATAACCCATCAGGTAGGAAGTAAGAGAATCCCCATTTTACAGAGGTTCGGACAGGTTAGGTAACTCACCCAAGATCAAGCAGCTTTGAGGAACAGAGTCAGTACTCAAACACAGGGGTCCATACTGTAACCACTGTACAGCTTCCAGGGATGAGAACGTGGCTAGGCTAATCCCAGAGACCTGGACACTCTCTCCCTCTTGTCCCTTGTAACCCCCACCCCACCTGGGCTCTCAGAGCCACTGGACACGTGTTCATCTGCCTGTGGAGTGAGCCATGCACAGCAGCCTCACCTCTGACCCCATCGCTGGCGTGGCCCACTGGAAGCCGAGCTATCCCTGCAGGGGTCGGGGGTTTCTTGACAGGGATCTCCTGAGGCCAGTTCCCTAGGTATCGCAGAGCCCCCGGGCCATGGCCAGGACGGACCCCACTCACCCTACCGGTTAAGACGTTCCAAAGTTGATTGTGGAACTTCTGAAGGCCAGTCTGGGGCTGGTCACCACCGGGGCACTGGAGGGCTGTTGAGGAAGGAGAGGGGGGCCATAGAGAGGGGCCCCCAAGGCATGGGTGAGGCTCTGCTCCCTGCCAACTCCATAACCCCCACCCCAGGAGGCTGAGCAGGGGCCCTGAGACTGTCAGGAAGTGTGCTGTGTACAAGGTGGGTCCGAGAGAGTCCTAGGTTGGGCACAGGGAGGAGGAGGGTGCCCAGGGTGGGCACACTGGGTCTGGGCTGTCCCAGCTCTGAGTCCTGGACTAGCCCCAGCGGTGCAACTGGGCTTCGGGGAACTCTCCCCTCCCTGGGGGCACCTGTGGGTCACAGTGCCAGGCACTCACTGAGGCTCAGGGAAGGCGCTGGGTCAAGGGAGTGGAGCCAGACCAGGGGCAGCAGGACGAAGCCGGCGATCAGCAGGAAGGTCAGCAGGTTAAGCAGCAGCAGGAAGCGCAGGAAGGTGAAGTAGGACTGGATTCCGGTGCCAAAGAGGCCTATGGGAAGACAGTGGGGTGGACAGCGAGGTATACCAGCCCCGCGGAGTGGGCGACCAGAAGCCTCAGCTTGATGGCCCCGGCGGGGTGGCCTCCAGAGCAGTACCGCTGATAGCCACCAGGGGCGCTGTCATCCACCTAGGTTTGTGGCCTGCCTTGCGGGGGCGGGGGCTGTGGGTTGGTAGGAAAGAGGGAGCAACGGGGCAGGCGGGATGATGCCCTCCTCTTGGCTTGGAGCTGGACTTCGAGACTCCAGTGAGGGGAGGTGGGCGTTGCGGGGAGGGTCCTACCTCCGATCTCGTAGAGAGCCCCTTCCCAGAGCCCGAAGCCGCGGGCCAGCCGCTGCGCCGTCTCTCCGAGGCGCCGTCCCGCAATTTGTCTCCGGAGCTGCCATCGCTCCCAGCAAGAAGGCTGCACCCCCTCGGGCTCCCGAAGCTGCCTGCCATAAGGGTGGTGATGGGGCGCCTTGAGTCACCCACCTACCGTGCCCACCAGGGAGGGCAGAGCAGCGCCCATGGGCTCTGGGATCTCTCCATCCCCTAGGTGCGTCTTTGGGGTGTCCCCACCCTCCGCCCTAGAGCGCGGGCACCCACCGGATGACGCGCTTGTCCACCATGGCGTAGGGCAGCGTGCGCACGGGCGCCCTGGAGGAGCACAGCCTCTCCATCTCCTGCTCGCACAGCTCCTCTACCCGAGGCTCCCCGGGCTCCTGCTCCCCAGGGATCAGCCCCGACAACACCGACCGCTGCCGCAGCATCTCTGCGCCACCGCTAAGGCTGGGCCGCCCCCACTGCGACTGTCCGCCGGGAAAGGGGTGCGGGGTGCCGGGAGGGTGGGTCTCGAGGTCTTGTCCCTGGCATGACCAGAAACGAAGAGAAAGAACCCTGGTCAGTCCCGCTCTGCCTCTCAAAGCAACACGCGGTGCCTCAGTTTCCCCATCTGTGAAAGGGGGAGAAAGGCCCAACAGACAGGGCAAGACGGGTCGCCACAGGCAAAGCCAAGGCCAAGTGTGGCCATGCGTGGCCCCAAAGTCTGCTGCCCTCTCCACCAGCTACCTGTGGCCGCAGGTCTCCCGCGTCACCCTTAGGTGGGAGAGATTCCCCATGTCTCCATAGGCTGATTCTCCCCTTGGGAAGACAGCTCTGTCCCCAAACCCCACAGCTCCTGAGGTGGGCAGCCTAGAGCGCCCTGGCTGCCGATGTGCCGGGTCCCCCTTCTGTCTTCCTGCTAGGGTCCAGCGCCACAGGCCAGGATCAGCCCTGGGTCCCCCCATGGGACCCAGATGAAGGAGTGTCACTGAGGTTCCAGCCGTGGGACGGGACCGAGTGGACCCTCCCCCAGCAGTCCCTCCATCCTCAGTTCTCTCTTTCACTTCCTCCCTCGTTTTTGCCCTCCGTTCTGCACCCAGCTCACCTGGGCACCAAAGGACCAAGTCCCTGGAGAAGCCCCTTCCTCCGACCGTTACCTCCACGCCAGACAGGGCTGCAATGGAGCCAGCGAGGAGTCGTTGTCACATGACAGGAACCCCGGCTCCCCCCCAGTTTCCTCCGCTCGAAACCGAGACCGAGACGGCGCTTCCTGCGGCTCACGGGGCGCCAAGGGCAGGTGACAGAGTGGCAGCGGGCCTTGACGGCGGAGCCCCTGCGCGCTGGACCGGGCCGCGTGGGCTGCGCGGGCGTCGGCCCGGGGCTCCCGGGACCGAAGGAGCACCTTCTGGCAGCTGTGCACCCTGGCGGCCCTCAGACCCCGGGTGGGGGCTGCGCCTGCAGTCGCCGGAGCCGCGGCGTGTGCGCCCCTCAGCCCGCCCCCCTTCCCTCCGGGAGCTGGGGCTTGACCCTGGGAAGGGAGTTGATCCCGGAGGGGGCCTGACAGGGGGAGGGAGGCTGATCCAGGAAGGGGTCCTGACTCGGGGAGGGGGCCTGACTAGGGGAGGGGCCGTGACCCAGATGGGGAGCCAGATCCGGGGAAAGGGGCTGAGGGGGGGCGAGGGGGGGGAGGGGGGCTTCGTGAGGCTTGGGGACCGCTGGGACCGGCCCCTTATCTGTTTGCCACAGGTCGCCCAGCTCGGGTGGCCCCGGGTGATAGTGACAATGGTGGGCCCCATCACACCAGCGGCTGATTTTCCAGAAGCCTCTGGGCCGTTATTTCTCAACCTCCGGCCTCTGTCGCTGTCAGTCCCTTTCATCCAGGCTAGAGGCTTAAGAGTCACCTTGGTCATCTCTGTCCCTGTGGCTCCGGCCCTGCACAGCCCTGCCCTTCCTCCCTGCTCTCTCTTCCTCTCCTTTACGGCTGTCCACTTTTGTCCAGATACTTTAGTGACTTCCCTACCTCCTTGCCCGTCTCCCCCTCCTGTGTGCCGGAGCCCCTCCTCTGTGCCAGGCCCACAACGGTCTCAGTGGGGCATGGGGGGGCGGTCAACAGAGTTCAACAGCTAACTGGGCCTGGAGCAGTTTGGGAGGCCTTCCCAGAGGAGGTGGCCCTCTATCTGGGCCAGGGGTCATGCAAGTTCCCCGGTGGCTGGGGTGTGAAAGGAAGGGGAAGTGGTGGGTAGAGAGTGGGACTGGGTGGTGGGACCTGGAATGCTGGGCACCAGATGCGTTCGGCGGAAAACCAGTCTGAGCACCCCACTAGCCAACCACACCGACAGCTGCAAAAGAGCCCTTCCCCCGGCCCCGCCCCCTTGTCCAGTCTTCTGTCCCAGAACCCCTTTCCTGGGAGGCGCATGTCTCTTCTTGCCCACGCTGTTCTCCCGTCCACGAGGCCCCCCTGCCTGGACCTCCGGTGATCGTCGCCCATTGCTTCTCCCCACCCGGAATGCCCCCCTCTCCTGGACTGTCTCAAATCCCCGGAGCCCCTTCTCTGGGCTTCTTGCTGGCTTGCCCAAAGTCAGAACCCTCGACAGAGCTCCGAAGTGGATCTAGACTCTGGCCCAGGAAGCTGAATAACCCTCTCAGCCTCAGTTTCTCCATCTGTGAAACAGGAATGTCAGTGCCCACTCCGCTCGTCCTGGGAACATTCATTCATTCCTTCCCCTTTTTCGCACCATCTCCCCAACCCAGCACACAGGAAGTGCACGGAACACTTGCTAGATAAACAGCAGAAACCACGCCCGGATGGGGGGAGGAGGAAGGTAACCCCGTTGCCGCCAGCCTCCGTGGGGAGCTGTTTGTGAGCACAGGAGGCCCCGCGGGAGGAAGGGGTGACCCCGTCCGGCGCCGTATCGCCAGGTTCTCAGCATCCCTTACTGTGACTACGACCCTGGGAAGTGGGTAGGTCTGGAATTGTCCCTATTTGAAACTTGGGAAAACTGAACGCTTCAGAAGTTGGGGACCCCAACCAGGGGAGACTGGAGTAGACTCAGACACCAGACCGCCCTCACCCCACCTGGCCCCGGGGCAGGGTGCAAGGAGGGATCAAGTAGTTGGCAGGTGGCGGCAGAGTCGCCCACCGCAGCCGCAGCCGGAGGCGGGGCGGGGTGCGCCCAGGCCGGAGCCCGGCTCACGTGACCGCCGAGGCCCGCCTCCACGTGGGCCGCGGACCCGGACACTCCCTCTGGCCCCGCCAGACCTGCGTGAGTCACAGGTCGCCCCCTGGGCCCTTTGTTACCGTCTGGGCACCTCCCCACCGGGCCCGGTCGCTCTCCCTCCTACGGTGCAGCCCAGGCCACAGTTCCCCGCGGCTCTTGCGGGGGACAGGTGAGCCGCTCCCAGGTGAGTGGTCGAGAGGGGGCGCCGGGATCCAGCGTGGCCCCAGCCCCGGGGCTTGGGGGTCGGCGACCCTGACCTTCTCCTGCCTGCCGCCCACCCTCCCAGCCCCTGCTGCTGTCCCCTTCGGCCGGGCGGCTCCACGTCCTCCCAGTTCTGTCTCTGGGGCCACCCGCCGCGGCGGAGCTCTCTCGGGGTTTCCTGGATCTTTGACCGGAGCTGGGAGGTACGACGGAGCGCGGGAACTGCAGGCCCCCGCAGCGACCCCCGCCCAGCGCTGGGGCCCCAGGGGAGGCGACGGTGGTGTGTGCCGAGGTGGCATGGGGAGGGGCAGGAGACTCGCCGCCCTCAGGCGAGTACCACTGGTCTGGGGGGTACAGGTGGGGCGGGTCGAGGGCCCCCGGAGTTTGCTGCCCCCTGGCTGGGCTGCGGCTCCTTGGGGCAGCTGCTGCTTGGGAGGACTCGCTGTCAGCTGGGGTGGGGGATCCTAGAAACGGGCCCGCCCTGCCCGTCCCCACCTGGCTAAGGGCTCAGGAATGGTGAGCGCCGGAAGCTCCGAGGGGCCAGCCCCGGCCTCGGGGAATGGGCTGAAGTCCTCGGCGAGCCTGCGGCACCTCCCACTCAGCCCCGTGGTAGGGGTGCCGCCTTCGGCACAGCTCAGCCCCGCCTCCGCCGCTTTCCCGTTGTGGTCGGACGCGGCCGCTAGTACCCCCACATCCTGCTCCTGCTGGCCGCAGAAGAAAGGGGGCGGGGCGTTTATTGTGGGGCCTAGACTCGGAGACTAGACCCCTAGCGAGGGCACTGCTTGGCCACTGTGTCCTGAAGCTCTAGGGGACCTGCTGCGTCTGGGCACCTGCGCCTGGCCGAGGAAGCTCCCTGGGGGTGGGGGTGGGGGTGGGGGTGGGGAGGACCAGAGCAGGGTGGACCCAGGGCTGGGCCAGTCCTACTGGCCGAGTCCTTTGGGGGTGGCTCCTGATGGGGACCTTGTTATCCCCACCTCCCCTCCCACTGGTGGACAGACCCAGCCAGAGTCCCAGACAAAGCCTCACTGGTTCCAGCTGTGCCCAGTGGTGCCTGGCTGTGACAAAGGCCACTTGTTAACACCCGTCCCCCTCCCCCAGCCCAGCACCCTCGGGTGATGGAATGTGAGGAGTGATCTGGGAACAGGATGACCTTGGTACTCTGGCAGGGGTGGCGGTGACTGACCTCTGTGTATGTGTGTGAGATGGGGGCTGACTCCGAGCCTGGGCTGGATGGGGACAGCAGGAGGGGCCTGCTTCTGGGCCCAGGGGCCTTGTTGGGGGCAACGGCCCCTGTAAGAGGAAGTATGGTTGGGTTACATCAGCAGGAGAGGCCTCTGAGCTGCGCTGACCCTTCTTCTGCCGTTTCTCGCCGGGAGGGCGGGCCGCAGGCACCCCACCGCCTTCCCCTTTTCCCAGGGACTGGTGATGTCGAGGAAATAGATGGGGAACTGCTCAACCCTACACCCTTCCTTCCGGTGCTTCTTTTCCTCCCAGCAGGCAAGGGGCTCCCTTTTGGTCCAGCAGAGCCAATCTGGCATGAGGGCGGGGCTTATTTGGGGCCACCCACCTGACCGGGTGTTTGTCTGTGGATGCGGGGGGTGCTCAGGCAGCCTGCGCTGGAAGAGGCCCCTGGCTGGCCCCAAGGGAGTGGCGGTCTGGGCGTGTGCCAGGCACTGAGGCCAGTCTCTCCTCAGATGGCTAGCGGGAGGCCGCGCCCAGGCTCTGAGCTGCGCTAGGTCTGCAGACGGGTGCGGGCCGTAGACATGGCCTTCGTCCTCAATGTCCCCGAGATCCCAGAGGACTCGAGGTAAGAGCTCTAGGGCTGGGAGCCTGCCTTCCCCTCCCCCGCTGTCTTCTCCTGGGATGGGTCACCTCCAGGGAGGCCGTCTGGGGCAGGGCTAGGCCAGCCCCCCTGAACCCTGCCCCACTCCCACCGCAGTAGCCAGGAGCCCAGCCCCTATGATGAGGACGAAGTGCACGACTCCTTCCACCAGCTCATTCGGGAGCAGAGCCAGTGGGTAGCGGCTGCTGGGCCCGAGACTGCAGGGCCTGAGGCAGGGCTGGAGCTGATGGAGAGGGAGCCAGGTGCTGGAACCCCTGGGGCCCCAGGTGAGCTTGGGTGCAGGTGTGGACTGGGATGAGCCCTCCCAGCAGTCGGCCAGCCTGGGGGCCAGGGTGCCATGGCTGGGTCTCCAGGACCCCTGGACAAGCCCTTCTTGCTGTTGTAGGTGGTGGCCACCAGTCCGACCTGGGGCCTGGGGGCGCCCCTGCGTACAGCGCGGCCACGCTCCGCATCCTGGCCAACATGCCCAGCCGCACCATTGGTGAGTGGACCCCCGGCCCTCGCTGTGCCGGCCATTCCGGCAGGGCATCTGTGAGCTGAGAGCCAGACCCCACCCACCCACAGCCCAGCAGGCCTTCTTGTGTTCTAAAATCGACTGCAGAGTCACTGGGGTAAAAATAGGCTCTTGGGAACTTGCGGTGCCTGAGGGCTCCGAAACCCAGTCCTGAGGAAAGGCGAGGGGCAGCCCCTTCCTCTGTGAAAAGCCTTCTCTGTGGGAGGCCTGGAACGGAGGAACCTTGCGGAGGGAGGCCAGGCGGCCTGAGCCACCCCCCTGACCAGCTGCCTGTGCAGGCCGCAGCCGAGGTGCTATCATCTCTCAGTACTATAACCGCACGATCCGGCTGCGACGCCGGAGCAGCCGGCCCCTGCTCAGCGCCATGGGACGCTCCGCCCGGCCCAGCCTCCGCTCGCACGACCTGGAGCTGGACCCCATGGCCTACCAGGAGGAAGGTGAGAGCGCAGGGTGGGGGCCAGGCCGGGGCGCCAGCAGAACCTCCCAGCTGAGAGGCCCTCTGTGGGGTGGTGGAAACCGTCTTGATATCATGGCCCCCGCGGCAGGGTTGGGGGCCTTTCAGGCTGCCAAGGGGTTCCCACATGGTCCGTGCCCAGTAATGTTGGGCTAATTCACTCCCCAAAGTACAGGTAGTCCCCGATCTATGACGGGGTTCAGCTCCGAAGACTCCATCCTAAGTCGGTTTGGACACAGTCAAATATCTATTTTTTTATGTTTTCATTATTGCCTTTTATTATCAGTATGTTTATAAATCCGATCTTGGAACATTTGTAAGTGAACATCTGAGAATAACACCAGCAAATTGCGTCCTGCAACACTGTATGTAGTACATATTACTGACGATAAAATGTAGGAAAAAAAAAACCTCATACAGTCCTAAGCGTGGTTGTTACTTGAATACTCGTAAGTCGGGCACGGCCTGTGTGTATAAGCTTTGGGGCTGAGACCCGCAGGGCCCGAGCAGAGACAGGATCTGGCTTCCACTGTCCCGCAGAGAGGAGCCGCCAGTCGGCCTGGTGCAGGGTGGGCGGAGGCAGGGGCTGTGAGGGGCAGGCCACAGAGTGGGAGCAGGGACGCTGCCGGGGACTGACCCAGCGTCCTCCTCATTCCTGCAGAGAAGCGTAGCCTCCTGGTCAGGGAGCTCCAGGGCCTGACGGGGGCCCAGCGGGATCACATGCTCCGCAGGATGCCCCTAAGCCTGGCCGAGAAGCGCTGCCTGCGGTCAGTGCCCTGTGCTCCGTGTGGGCGGCCCACGGTCGGGAAGACGGGCCTGAGCCTGCGGTGGGCGGTTCCGGGGAGGAGGGGGCCCCTACTCGGGTCAGGCACCGGCAGCTGCTTCTGTTCCCAGAGAGGCGAGCGAGACGGCGAGGGAGACGTGGAGGGGCCAGCAGGGCCGGCGCGGGGTCTGGTCCTGCTGCAGCCAGTTCAAGTACGGCTGCGTCCTGGTAGGAGGCTCGGGGTTCTGTGCTAAGCGATTCCCGCCTGGGGTGGGACGAGGGCGCCCCGTGAATCATTCACCACTCCTCCCGCCCTCTCTCCGCGGGGTCCCCATCTGGGGTCTCGTCACCTGGGGTCTCGCCACCCGGGGTCTCCCCCCCGGGGATCTCGCCACTGAGGGGTCTCCGCGCCCGGGGTCTCCCCACCCACGGTCTCCCCACCCAGGGTCTCACCACTGAGGGGTCTTCCCGCCTGGGGTCTCGCCACCTGGGTCTGGCCCCACCCCTTCCGGCACCCTCCGCAGGGCCCCTTCCCAGGACCTTCCTGCTGCTGTCCCCACAGGCCCTGCACAACCTGGGGCTCGGGCTGCTCTCGGGCCTGCATGCGCTGACGCCCTGGCGCTACGCCCTGAAGCGGATCGGGGGCCAGTTCGGCTCCAGCGTGCTCTCCTACTTCCTCTTCCTCAAGACCCTGCTGGCCTTCAACGCCCTCCTGCTGCTGCCCCTGCTGGCCTTCATTGTGGGTGTGCAGGCTGCCTTCCCGCCCAGCCCGCCACACCCCACCCCCGCCTTCACTGGGCTGGAGCTCCTCACAGGCGGGGTGAGTGCCCCCCACCCCACCCCACCCTGCCTGTGACCCCAGCAGGAGCCGGCTCAGCGGAGCGGCCAGCTCCCGCCGCCTCCTCCACCACACCCTGCCCCTGTGGGGGTCCGTGCTGCCCACCTCGCCCTGGTTTCGGTGAGGCCTGGGAAGCCCAGGATGGCCAGGCCCTTTGTCCATCTCTGTTCTCATTTCTCTTTCCTGACCCTTCTCTTGCTCTGCCTTTCTCATCGCCCAGCTCCCCGTGTGGGTGGTCTCCCCCTGCCTCTCACAGCCTGAGGGTGGGTTGGGGCAGCGGGTGAGGTAGGTGGGGTAGGGGGAGTCCTTGACTTGCCAGGCCTCCTCTCCGCAGGGCTATTTCACCCACACCGTCATGTACTACGGTTACTACAGTAACACCACGTTGAACCAGCAGTGTGCCCCCCCGCTGGATGGCAATCAGTGCACTCGTGGGGAAGGTGGCCTGCCCTACAACATGCCCCTGGCCTACCTCTTCACCATGGGTGTGGCCTTCTTTATCACCTGCATCACCCTGGTTTACAGGTAACAGCCCTCCACCAGATGACCTTCCTCTGAACTCCGTCCATCCACCCATCCATCCACCTGTCTACCTACCCATCTATTTACATCCATCCATCCATCCATTCATCCATCCATCTGTTCATCCATCCATCCATCCATTCACATTGATCCATCCATCCATCCATCCATCCATCCATCCATCCATTCACATTGATCCATCCATCCATCCATTTACATTGATCCATCCATCCATCCATCCATCCATTGATTCATCCATCCATCCATCGATCCATTGATTCATCCATCCATCCATCTATCCATCCATCCATCCATCTATCCATCCACATCCATCCATCCATCCATTCACATCGATCCATCCATCCATCCATCCATCCTTCCATCCTTCCATCCATCCATCCATATCCACCCATCCATCCATCCATCCATTCACATTGATCCATCCATCCATCCATTTACATTGATCCATCCATCCATCGATTGATCCATTGATTCATCCATCCATCCATCTATCCATCCATCCATCCATCTATGCATCCATCCATCCATCTATCCATCCATCCATCCATCCATTCACATCAATCCATCCATCCATCCATCCTTCCATCCATTCAGTCATCTACCCATCCTTCCATCCATCCATCCACCCTCCCACCCACCCCACAAACATTCCCGGTGCTCAGCCTGTCCTCGAGGAGCGGTCTAGGGGAGAACACAGACCAATGAACAGGTCAAGGACATCTAGGAGCCCCAGAGGTGTGGCCTGGGTATTGGAGGAGAACATAGGTTAGGGCTGGTTTCCCAGAGGAGATGGCACTTGACCTGAGCCAGGGAGGTTAAATAAGAGTGGGCAGGGAAGACGTGGGGGAGGGCATTTTGGGCAATGGGAGAGACAGTGCAAAGGCCCTGTGGTGAGCCCAGCATCTTCTGTACCCACTGTCTGTGTCAGTGGTGATAGAGCCCTGAGTCCTCTCCTGGCCACATGTGGTTGGTGAGTACCAGACAGGGCAGCTCTAGAGGGCAAGGCCAGCAGTCCACACCATGGCGCCTAGTGCCCTGGGCTGGAGATGGGGCAAGGGCTGCTTGAGGCCGATTCAGTGCTGGGAGGGCTCCCTGGAGTGGGCAGTGGGGCTCAGCTGCAGGGAATGTCTTATCTGTCTTATCCCCTTGCCTCTGCTTCTCCGGCCCCATGCTCACCCCACCGCCTGGTTCTGTTTCCCCCAGCATGTCCCATTCTTTTGGGGAGAGCTACCGGGTGGGCAGCACCTCGGGCATCCATGCCATCACTGTCTTCTGCTCCTGGGACTACAAGGTGACTCAGAGGTGGGCCTCCCGCCTCCAGCAAAACAATCTCCGGACCCAGCTGAAGGTGAGCAGCTGGGAAGGCTGAGGCCGCCTGCTCCTCACCCTGGAACACGGCCCCCCACAGCAGCCTGACCCGGGTTTCACTTAGGACCAGATGTGGGGAACTGAGCTAGGAGGAGGAACATTGTGTCTGTGAACCAGACCCCGGGTGCTGGGCGTGTTGTCCCTGCCTAAGAGTGACAGGGCAGGTGCTTCCCATTTCTAAAGAAAATGCACCAACACTCAGGGTCGTTCTGTTTTCCCCCACTTGCACCCGTATGGGGCTGCCTCTGTGGTCACCTAGTGAGCATAGCCACCGCTGCTCCACGGACGTGCAGGAGCTGGGCCAGCACAGCACTCGGAAGGCCTGGGGTCAGGGTGGCCTCCATTCCCCCCAGGAGTTCAGCACCTCTGCCCGTTCGTCCATCCGCTTGTCCCAGGCTGCAGCCCCAGCTGGGAGGTCCTCTTGGCCTGAGTTGGAGGGGTCTGGGGGGCCGGCAAGCATAGCTCCCTTATCCTCACAGGAGCCCCGTGGGGAGGGGCTGTTACCTTTCCTCGTTAAAAGTGAGGAGACAGAGTCACTTGCTCAAGGTCCCAGGGCTAGAGTCAGAGCTGGCCCTCATGGAATGTTCTCTGTCTTTCTGGGGTTTCGTGCTGTGGAGGTGGCTAAGTCTTCCTTGGTGGGGGCTCCCAGGCGCAGATGCTGTTCTTGCCTCGGGAGTCCTGGTAGGGTAGGGGCCACCCACACAGACAGGGAAGGGACAGGCTCAGGAAGGCCTCCCCAGAGGCAGCAGGGAGGGGGACAGGGGCTGGGAGCTGCTGGGCAGTGCACCCCGGGACGAGGAGGCGGATGGGAGCCAGGGCGGGGTCTTTGTGCCTGGTGAGGCGGAGGCGATGGGGTCTGCGGGGGGCACCGACCACCTCTCCCTCCTCCCTGTGTTCTGTCGGGGTGTCCTCGTGCGCGTGTCCCCGTGTGTGTGTGTGGCTGGGCCATGCAGCCATGACGCCTGCCCTCCCCAGGAGCTGCTGGCCGAGTGGCAGCTGCGGTTGGTCCCCCGAAGCATGTGGGGGCAGTTGAAGAGGGTGGCTGTGCTGGGCCTGGTGTGGCTGCTGTGCCTGGTGACCACGATGGGCTGTGCCATGGCCGTCTACACCTTCTCAGAGCTCATGATCCAGGTGGGTCGTGGGGGGCTGGAAGGGGCTTGGGAGTGGGTGGAAGGGTGGGGGTGGCTCCAGCCTCTCATCGGACTCCCTGTGGGGGCGGGGCAGGCCCATGGGAGCCTGGGCACTCGACTCGACCCAGTCCCCAGTGGCCTTGGCTCTCCTGAGGCCGCCACCCAGGACCTGGAGTCAGAGCGGCCCGGGGCTCTTGCACCCCTCCCTGGGCACCCCCGCCCCCGGCCTCTGCCCCTCTCCGTCTCACGCTCCTTCCTTTCCTTTGATTTTCTGGTCTTTTTTGGTTTCCCTTCCTTTTCCAGCACCTGTGTTCTAACCCTGCCCCCACCCCGCTTCCTCTATGGTTTGAACTTGAGGCCTGGGGGGCTGTGTCCTTGAGGAGAGGGAGGGAAGGAAGTGTTGCCTCCCGGTTCAGTCCCCTCTGTCCACTGGACCCTGCGCCTCCTCCCTGGGGTAACCCCTGTCCCCTCCCCCTGTCACCTCCCCAGAAGGTGGCCACCAGCCAGGAGGCGGCACTGCTGACCTTGCCCCTGGTGGTGAGCCTCATCAACCTGGTGGCCCCCTACCTGTACCGCGGGCTGGCTGCCCTGGAGCAGCACGAGTCGCCGGTGCTGGAGGTGTACGTGGCCATCTGCAGGTGTGTGTGTGTGTGTGTGTGTGGCGGGGGGCAGGGCTGTGGCCTGGGGACTGCCTTCTGGGGGGCTCCTCTGCTTCCTGTCCCCCCTCCGTCAGCCTCCTCATCTCCCCCCACCCCAGGAACCTCATCCTCAAGATGGTCATCCTGGGCATCCTGTGCTACCACTGGCTGGGCCGCAGGGTGCGCGCCCTGAAGGGCCAGGTGAGGGGGGGGCCAGTGGGGCTGAGAGAGGTGGGAGGCCCCACATGGTCCCGGCCATGGCGGGAGGAGGGGCCTCCCCTGGCCGTCTGACTTGATGGGCTTGGTCCAGAAGGAAGATTTAGGTCGTGGTTGACTCTGGCATGTGGGGCGAAGGGTGTGGAAGGGCTGTGCAGGGGACTGCAGACCCAGGGCGGGCAGTGCAGCTGGGGCTGAGGGCCTGTCTGCTGTTTCAGTGCTGGGAGGACTTTGTGGGCCAGGAGCTGTACCGTTTCATGGTGATGGATTTCATCTTCATGCTGGTGGACACGCTCTTCGGGGAGCTGGTGTGGAGGTGAGGGGCCAGAGTGGCAGGGAGAGCTGGGTCCCGTGAGCGCAGCGCCCCCTGCAGGCTGAGTCCAGCGCCCCCTGCAGGCTGAGTCCTCGCCTTTGCCCTCTGGGCACGCCGGGCTAACCCACAAAGACAGGCAAGGCCGGGGTGGGGAGGTTTCAGGCATCATCTGGGAGGGTCTTAGTCCTTGGGAAAGCAGGGCCCCGGGCGGGAGACCCTGGGCCTCCCAAATCAGGGCCCCAAATCTCTACCCTTGGCAGTTTATTTTGTACAGGATCGTTAGAGGAGAAAAACGCCCACGAGACAGGATGTAGCGCATTTGCATTTATAGGTTGGAAAGAAAAACCAGTTTCAAAACAATGTGTCTCTTATAATCTCAGTGGTTAAGAGCTCGGCTACTAACAGAAAGGTCAGCAGTTTGAATCCACCAGCCACTGCTTAGAAACCCTGTGGGGCAGTTCTACTCTGTCCTATAGGGTCGCTATGAGTTTGAATCCGCTCAACAGCAACGGGTTTGGTTTGGTTTTCTTGTGGTAAAATATACATAACAAAACATTTTCCAGTCATTCATTTTTGCGTGTACAATTATAATCTCGGTTGTGTTCAAAGAAACAAAAGGTGGAGAGAACATGGAGGGACATTTTCAAAATGCTGGCTGGTCCCCCGTGGGCGCTGGCGTTTCAGGTTGTGTTTATTTCCTGCTTTGTGTGTGTCTGTATTTTCTCTGAGAACGCACGAATTTAGTAATACTAAAGAAAAAGACTTTTTTAGTGGACTTTATTTTTTAGAACAGTATTTAGGCTTACAGAAAAATTGAGCAGAAAGAGTCCTTTCTGTGGTTCCTTTGTTACAATTGATGAACCAATATTGATACGGTGTTATTAACTGGAATCCAAGCAGTCAAACATATGTTCTGTGTGTTCTAGACACGGGCGTGTACGGGTGCGCGCGTGGTTCGGACGTGGGCGTGTACGGGTGCGCGCGTGGTTCGGACGTGGGCGTGTACGGGTG